TGAACTAAACATGTGAGTCAGAAGGAATGTTTACAAAAAAGAGAAACATAACAATAACACACATGCTTAAAATCAGACAGATACAGTTGGAATTTCTAGGAAAGAGGGCTTGGAAAATTTGATACTCAAAGTGCATTTTGACGGTCAGAGGCACTTTTGGGGCGCACCCACCTTCTCATCAGAATGGACTGATCTCTCTACTACTAATAGGACAGTTCTTTAGAGTTCTGGGAAGATCAGGTGACCATCACACTTCCGTCTCTCTAACGGAAGATACAGTTGGACTTTATACACTTTCTGATTGTTACTGACTAACCTGCGTTCGTTTGACTACTAATCTCTCTGTTGTAAATACCTCTTTAGATATACGAGTATTTTTCCCTACGTGTGTTTGTCCTTATTTCAATACACGCACGGGGAAACACTCAACATCTCAACAGGCACAAAGGAAAGCGAGTAAACTACATAACAAGCTTGTATAAATAGATGGCATGCCAAGGTTTAGGATGGATAGCATTAAGATAAACCTTACTAAGAGTTACAAACGTCAGAAAGTTGTAGAGATCTATAATCGCCTATGTCCTGAAAAGACACTTTATATAGGAAAATCTATGTACCAAAGAGTAAAGCCCTCAGAACAATTGCCTTGAAAATATTCATAGAAAGTCACAGAAAGCTACGTTACAATAAAATCATTGAATCCGAGATGCCAGGCCAGCACCAATAGCATTGCAGATTCTTATTTGGATTTAATGTCGATGGCACTTTATGTGAAAGTAGTGAGTTGTAGTATCTAGAAAACTGTTATCTAATGCCAGGTTTTGTTTCTTTCTCTTGGATGACAGCAGGAATATTTTCGTCTCGTTGTACGAATCGTAACATTAATTTTATAAGAATCTTATCTCCTTTTGCGCCGTTGGGGTGATTTAGCCTATAAGAAACAGTTTCACAAAGGGAATACTTTAATAGTGCTTTTAACAGAATTATATATAACAAATGGAACAATATGCTGTTGATGTGCTTGATGATGATGATGCTTGGGGGGGGCGGTGGCAGTCACAGGCAGTATTTGGTCGCTGTTATAGCAGCACATCTTGTTGGCCAACCGACTCAGATATCTTCCCCCGCTCTCATATAAATAGAAATCACCATACGTCTACTTCTTAGCGGGTTTGGTAAACTACGAAAGCTATTAACAGTATCATATTGTAATACTGTGTGTTCCTTTGTTACTTTACTTGTTAGTTATTTAGCACGGGCGTTACGCCGCGCCATTGCCTCGGATAAACAATGGGCTGTGTGATTGAGATGATGTGCGAAAGAAAAGATATATCAATGGGGCAAGTTTGGTTTTAGGTAAAGAAAGAAAAGAAGAAAGGAAAGGAAAGGAAAAGAAAGGAAAAGAAAGGAAAGGATATACATTTTAACGTCTTCTTCAGAGAAATAGAAAACCTTGTCAATGTTGTCTCTTTCCATTTAAAGTAAATTGCAAGATGTGGTTTTACAGAAAGAGACGGAGAATACTATGAACAGAACACGTGAACAGCGAGAAAGTGTTAAGGAAAATACGAATAAAAGCGACACTTGTGCTTAGAATAAAAAAGAGACAGTTTAAATGTCTGGGAAACATAATGAGGAAAGAGGGCTTGGAGAATTTGACACTCACATTATCATACTGAAGACAAGTGAGACAGCGAGAAACATCAATTAGCCTACCGAAGGAGCGAAGAATGTTAAGGTGACAAGCATTATTTAGAGCTACACGGAATAGGACATTGTGGAGAGCCATAATCACGCACATCCTGAAAAGACAGAGTATAAATCTGGAACCGAACAGAATTCGTCAAGTATCTTTTTTTAGTGATTTTTTAAAATCATTTCACTCCAAGCAAGGTGATAATGCCACTAAGACGCAAGGGGTTACTGTATGTGAAAGAGGCTTGAGGAGGATGTGGAAACACAATACCCAAGAGGGAACAGGGATAAACATGTACTCCTGTTCAAAAAACGAATAATAAGCGAACCTATCTGCTCCTGTTTGGAGCGCAGGAATGACGAAGTTGCCTTCAAGAAACTAAACAAAGTATTAAGAGACATGAAAATGTCATTAGAAACAAAGAAAATAGGACTATGGCATTGAATGCTGGACAATTTCCTCGCAGACGAAGAGGAGATTTGAAGCAATAGAGATGTGATTTTATGGATGGATTAACTATTGAATTCGCCTTTCTTGAATTTCACAAACTATTCATAAGACGAACTACTTCAAACTGCAGCATACGCCATCTTCATTTCTCTTCACTTTGGCTATTGTATTGTCGAACTTGAAACGAAAACGAGATTCAGTTTCGCACATTTGTCTTGTCAGCCGCTTCTTTTTCTGTCCTCAACACAAATACGTACTGGAATACAGAACATTCCAAATATATAAAATTCTTATAATGGCATTATATTATATATAAAGACTTAATAAATTTATATAAGATATATATAACGGCTCAATCAATTTATATATAATGTATATATGCATATATAAATAAAAAGAAAGAACAGTAAGACATATAATCCGGTGTTCTTATTGATATTTTTTTTATTTTTACCAAAAAGTGCTTAATGTAAATTTACAGAGCATAAATATTATAAATTAACTGATTTAAAATATGGTTTCTTCGCTACACAGTAATAACCATGTTTCAAAAACTGAAGCTAAAAACTTCAAATTTAATGATATAATTAAATTAAAAGCATTAGTTCTATTTAAAGACTTAAATTTATATATAATGTATATAAAGATTTAATACATATATATATAATGTATCTAAAGACTTATAAATTTATATATAATGTGTCTAAAGACTTAATCAATTTATATATAACTAGGAGCATGGCCCGGCGTTGCCCGTGCTTGATTCAAAAATCGTACGACTAATACAGCAATCGCTATCACTTGACTTAAAATATTTTTGCCCTTCCTTGTCTTTAAAGGAGTGTCCTTTGCCGTGCTGATGTTGCTACATGCCTTACTTCTTGCCTAAGCTCTATACTAAAAATTAAATCTGTTACGAAAAAGAACTAAACAAAATGAACACAAAAGGATCAGCTTTAAAAAAGAGACTCGTAACTGGAAAAACCAAATGAAAAAAGAACGTTAACAACAAATACTTTTTCACACCCAACCCAGTTCTGCGGAATCAGAATCAACGTTGAGTTTAAGCAAGCGAATGAGCCAATTGGAGTAAAGTGTCATGCAGATTTAAATTTTTCCCACTTGTGACGAATGCAGCTATCGATTTTTTTGCATTCTAGCATGCTAGTTAACATTCGTGTCAGTCAGCTGTTGGCTCTCACGCTGGCCAATAGAATCTTCCTGCCTATTCGTGGCAGCCAGCTATAGACTCTCACTCTGGCCAGTAGAAAATGGCCGCAAACTACATGAAAAGTGCCGTAGAAGCATGAAAAAATCGATTATTTCCACTATTGATGGGAGTTGGGAAATGCAAAGTCGGTCTTGGCCTTCCCACTAACTTGGAGCATGTGCATGTAAATTTTGGTGCAGATCCGTCGAAAATTGCGGCCGTGCATTCGTTACACACGTACACACATCCTGCCTTTTATAGATAGAGATTTATATAAAGATTTAATAAATTGAAATGCAATGACAATCGTTAACTTCTGCCTTAATTCTTGTTCTGTTATTATTCTCTCTCCTTCATAAGGATTTTGTTTCGTTTCAGACTCTCTGATACTCATTAACCCATTGCGTCTTAGTGGCTTTATTGTCTTGTCTTGTTTTTTAATTTGTTTTTAGTTAACGATGTTTCTTATTTGGCTCAATAAGATTTACGGTAAGAATGAATCTTCTATCCGTCACGTAGATTTTATTTTGTCATAATTGTCCAATTTTATTACCACTTATTTTTGTTTATTGTGCGTCATTGATAAATTATACTTTATTATAAGTATTTATGCACTAGAAAAACATAGTATATATATATATATATATATATATATATATATATATATATATATATATATATATAAGATTATTGCATATTTGGGCAGCAAAATTTCTTTCAAACATCTTTCATTAATATCTTTCTATATCTCTGAGATCAGGTACTATTATTATTTACATTATTCGGACTGTTATCCTCATCTTCATATATATATATATATATATATATATATATATATATATATAACTAGACTCGTTTCGAAAAACCCTCGAATTTTTGAATTGTTAATAATCAAATCAATCTCGAGGGAAAAAAAAGGTTTTAAAAAAAGAAAGAGCTACAAACATGAACTACTGCCGACAAAAAATCGCACAGATGCAGGTCTGAAACCCAAAGAAAAAACCCCGATACGAGTAAACTAACAAAAGCGGGTTAACTTAAAAAAATAAACGACTTCCGGTATAATAACCGCCAAATTAGAATGTACCACTGACCCGTATATATAAATAGCCGAGAAAAATAACATGGCCTGACGATTGTATCTAGCATTAAACAGACAGTCGCCTCTAAGTGTTGACTTCCATGTTCATTTTTTATATATATATATATATATATATATATATATATATATATATATATGAGAGAGAGAGAGAGAGAGAGAAAATCCACAGTTTGTAGCATTTACTTAAAAAAAAATGTGCTCAATACAAAGTAGACCAAAAATATTATTATAATTCTTTTTATTATAATAGATTACAATAAAAACATTTTACATCGCTACACAAAAACTTTCATGTTTCAGTACTAAGATTGTACTGCCTCAGGCGATGGTAATTATATTTTTTACTCTGACCATATGCCACCACTTTAACTTCCGAAAAGAGGTAACGATTTGTTTTTAAATTTTCCTAATAAATCATTTTTATCACAAGTTATCTACCATCTCCTGAAGAAGTACCATCTTAGTACTGAAACGTAAAAGCTTTTGTGTAGCGATTAAAAATGCTTTAATTGTAATTTATTATAATAAAAATATTATAATACATGGCGATAGATAGATAGATAGATAGATAGATAGATAGATACACCTAGTGAGCCAGACAAACCTACCTAGGTTTCACCTAAACGGATCGTCAGGGAAAGTAAGGCTTGTCTGGCTCACTAGGCGTCTGCTCTACGGTTGTATTGAGCGCTTTTGTTAGTTAGTTGTTTACTCGTATCGGGGTTTTTTCTTTGGGCTTCAGACCTGCATCTGTGCGATTTTTTGTCGGCAGTAGTTCATGTTTGTAGCTCTTTCTTTTTTTAAAACCTTTTTTCCTTCGAGATTGATTTGATTATTAGCAAATCAAAAAATTCGAGGTTTTTCGAAACGAGTCTAGTTATATATATATATATATATATATATATATATATATATATATATATAAAAATCATTACATAAGAATTATAATAATATAATTTTTAGAAGTAGTGCTATTTTATGACGACAGTTGGCGATCTCTTTCTTTGCATGTCCATCGCGTGATCAGAATATAAAAGATTTGATCGAAGGACAAAGTATTGCTTGCCGCCAACTTCTCATTCGTGTCTTTTCACCAATCTTTCAGGTAACCATAAGAAACGTGCTATGGACAGGAAGTGGGGATCTCAAAGAGTAGCAGTGGTATTTACCATAACTCTACTGAATTTCTGCCATTCCTCTGCGGCATCAGAATCCAGGTGAGTTTCATTTACGATTATTAAATTATCCTTTCTTTGTTATTTTTTTTCTTTTTCATGAAATTAATCATTTCCTTTTTTTTCTCCTTTTTCTTTCTTTTCATTTAATTCTTTCTTTTTTCTTTTCTTTTTTCTTTTCCTTCTTTTTAATATTATTCATTCATTTATTCCTCGTCCTGTCTATGGATATTTCTGATATATATATATATATATATATATATATATATATATATATATATATATATATATTTTGCGTGTATGCGTGAATTGTCATTAAATATGGATTAAAATGGATTCCTTATCCTATCATGAATATATATATATATATATATATATATATATATATATATATTTATGAATAAAAATGACAATAGGAAAACTGGTAATTGCTGACGCGTTTCGTCAATGTGGACTTTAGCAATTACCAGTTTTCCTATTGTCATTTTTATTCATAAATATTGTCTTCTCTACCGATTAAATCGGAGAAATTTTCATATATATATATATATATATATATATATATATATATATATATATATATATATATTATACACTATAGGCCAAAAGTTTCGAAATACCCTCTGGATTTATTAATTACTAAGTCCCATACCTTCTTTGGTTTAATTGAGTCCTACTAATTTACTATGATGAAACACCATTGGCGCATGGTGGGCTTGTGAGAAGAAGGTTCTGCCTAAATTTTAAAGTCCGCCAGCCCTCAGATTACAATTAGCGAGCAAGGGAGATAAGGCAAACAGAGTAAAAATTTTAAGGAAAATCTATGCAGTCATGTCATAATTTCGTTCAGAGATAGTCCCTCTGATTCAAAATGGAAGAGTTTTACCCCAAGCAAGGCAGACGTGCCACTAGCAGAGAGTAAAGAGGCGATATTTGAGGAAAGAGTAAAGAGAAGGACGGGGATGAGGATCAAGGCATCAGATGTCGATTGACCTTACATTTGAATATTTGAAGACTATAACTGTCGGGGAAGCAAGTAAGAGTTCCACAGACGCGAAGTGCGAGAGATTAAGCTATTGGAGTAGAAGAGACGGCTTCATTTAACCCTTTCGACGGTGAAAGGGTGCGGTTGAGATGCCAACCTAGTAACACGCTTAAATTCATGCAGTTTGGGAACCAGCGAAGATAGATCACCGGAGAAGTTACCGTGAAAGTACTTGTAGAAAATACGGAAGGAAAAGACGAAACGTCTGTGAGAAAGTGAGTGTAGGCGAGATGCCAGATCAGGACCTATCACATTGCATATCCGTCTATAGATTTCATAATGAATTAGTTTTAAAAAACGGATGGAACCATCAATTTTTTGGTGATTCCTCGAAATACAGAGAGTGTAACCAAACATTTTGCCTATATATATATATATATATATATATATATATATATATATATATATATATATACATACAGGTTGTCCATAAAGTTCGTGTGCACTTTAAAAATATAACTTTATTTGTATTTGCAATAGAAATAATTTGTAAAAAGGATTAGAAAGAAGTAAATCTATATTTTTTAAGTTTTTATTGAAATTGTATTTAAGTTTCCACATGTCCTCCATCATTAGCAATACAAAAGGTAATACGATTTTGCAGTGCACGGAAAACATTTGCCAACTGATTTACAGTAATGCTTGAAATCACATTAGTTATTTTAGCTATACTTAAAACTACGTACAGTAAACTTTATAACATTTTTTACAGATTATTTCTATCGCAAATACAAATAAAGTTATAATTTTTTAAAGTGCACACGAAATTTATGGACACCCTCTATATGTGTGTGTGTGTGTATTCCTCATTTCTTTTTACAAATGTTTATCTCTATCTACATATATCCATCTGTCAAAGTCCTATTTGTCTGTCTCTCACCTCTCACTCTCTAATTTTTCTTTCTTTCCTCCCCTATCTATTTACATATCTTTCTACCTATTCACGTAATGTTTATATCTTATCCTAGCGTATTCTCATTTTCCCTTTCTGTCTATAATTCTTTTTATTACTTCCAATATTTTTTCCCTTTTGCAAAACTTTAGAATTTCTTTCCGGCATTTCTAGCTGCATATCCCACTGTTTTTATAAGGCTTTTCCTCACAAACATCTTCAGCCATTTTTTTTTTTTCTGGGTATCTCAGTTTTTACGGTTTAACTTTATTTGGATGGGTGCGGTATCCAGTGACCTTTAGGAGTTCGTTCAGAACAGTTGCTCCTAATTTTTTTTTTTTTGGCTGCGCCCTCCTGGATCCCCAGCCCACATCCTAAACATTCTCTTGCCACACCCATATGAAAGTACTTCTTTCTTGGCATTACTTATACTGCAAGTTTAAAACAACTAATCTAACACTCTGAGCACAGATTTATTTTGGCTTTTCTTAGATGCAATAAGACAGATGCCTCCAAACGAACATCCATGGCTATATGACAACACCTACAAAACTAAAGCCTCTGGAGACGTCAACTGTCTGATCTAGCGCGTCCTGTCCACTTAAACTCAGCAAGATGCAAAAAAGGTGTTTCGATATTTAAATTCAGACGTCAAAAAAATAAAACCATGCGTTCGTGTTTAACTGTAATGTTCATTTTTGTTTTTTGAAGAATTTGCATTAGAGTTTGCAAAAAAGAAATATTTATTCCTGATGACACTCAAGCAAGGCGGGAAGCTACTAGCACGCAAGGGGTTACAGAGGATTTGGAGCGAGAGCAGAAAGTAATGATAGAGGAAAGGATGGGGAGAAGGATAGTGGATAGATCAAGGCAACTGGAGATATCGATTGACATTACATTTGAAAAGTTGGCGATTATAGCCATCAGGTAAACAGGAAAAAGGAAGGGAGTTCCACAGGCGAGAGGTGCGAGATATGAAGCTATTGGAGTAGAAGAGACGGCTACATTTAACAATTTCAACAGTGAAAGGGTGAGAGCGCGATGCCAGCCTCGTAGGACGATTGAATTCATGAAGTCTGGGAACCAGCGAAAGCAGCTCATCGGAGCAATTGCTATGAAAGTATTTGTAAAAAAAAAAGACAGGGAGAGGCGACTGCACGTCTGTGAGAGAGCGACTGCAGACGAGATGCCAGATCAGGGCCAATTACATTGCATAGCCGTCTCTGGATCTTATCAAGAACCCCGAGCCAAACAGAAGTGGGGTCCAGACCATATATGGCAGCAATACTCCATGCAAGGACGAATGGTTGATTTGTAGACTTGAAGGATCGATTCCGGGGAGAAAAGTTTCCTGGCGCGGTACAGAGAGCCAACTTTCCTTGCGGTGGACGAAGCAATTGACTCAATGTATTTGTTCCAATTCAGGTCGGCAATCAATGTGAAAACGAGCAGTACATTTAGTGGACCAAAATTCCTAGCAGTAGACACAGTGAACCAACTTTCCTACCAGTAGATAGAGTGGCGCAAATTTTCCTAAAAGTAGATAGATTGAACCAAAATTCCTCGCAGTAGACACAGTGATCCAACTTTCCTACTAGTAGATAAAGTGACCCAAATTTTCCTAGCAGTAGATAAGTGACCCAAATTTTCCTAGCAGGAGATAAGTGACCCAAATTTTCCTACCAGTAGATAAGTGACCCAAATTTTCCTACCAGTAGATAGATTGACCAAAATTCCTAGCAGTAGACACAGTGAACCAACTTTCGTATCAGTAGACACAGTGAAATAATTTTCCTACCAGTACATTTAGTGAACCAAAATTCCTAGCAGTAAACACAGTGAACCAAATGTCTCACTAGTGGACACAGTGAACCAAATTTCCCAGCAGTAGAGACAATGAAACGATTTTTTTAGAAGTAGATAGAGTAGACAAACTTTCCTAGTAGTTGTAACTTAAAGTATTTATTTATATTTTATTCACATACAACATAAATTTCTCTATTTTGTATTTTCATCTTTCGTTCATTGTATTCCCTTTCTGGCTTACTATTTCCTTCGTCTGTTTATTTGTTTCTGGTATTTTATACTCTTTGTAGGAATTTTTTGAATCATAACATCCTTCTTCTTCATTAAGTATTAATTTATTTCTACCTCTTCTGTTTTGTTCCTTTGCTTCTTTCTCGCGAAGAAAACTAATCTCATATCCCTCATGTTCCAGCACTATTTTCGATTCCTCTTTTTTTATATCCTTTTTTTCTTCACAATTTGGTTAAACTAGAGAAATGGCGCGCCGATATTCCAAGCTTTAAAAGAATTTCCCAAGACCGGCAGTCGATCTAATCACTGAGTTCAAAATGTTAAACATCACAACAGAATTATTACTACGTAGACAATCCTTCGTAAGTTTAGTCAGAAGATAACTAAAACTAATGTCTGGGGAAATGATTTAATTTAAAATAGAGACTCCATAATTGTCTAAATCAGTGAAATAAGGTATTAGGATTATTTGCCTTATTTATATTATTCGGACTGTTATTCTCGTCTTCATTGCCAAATTCACAACGTTTCGGTCGTTGTACGCTTCGGCCTTCTTCTAGTGACTGGAATTTCGAACCGAACATTTATTTCGTCCACCGAGATAGATTGTTCTAGTTCCAAATGCCGTGCCTCTTCCGGATGTCTCAGTTATTTCCCTTTAACTCAACTCTCCAAGTTTCTTCGTTCACCGATCCTTCAATATATGTCTTTATCTTTTGAGATGAGATCTCAGGACAAATCCTGGCAACTTCATCCCGAAAATGCAACTGCTCACAACGCCCTGAGCATCCAGCAGCCCCTGAACGAAAACAACATCGCCGTACTGGAACAACTTCCCAATTCTACCTGATGTTTTAAATACTAAATGTATGGAAGCAACAGAAATGTGGTTCTACAGAAGGATACTGAGAATTCAATGGACGGCGCGAGTAAACAACAAGAAAATCTTCAAGAAAATAACAACAAAATTAATACTTATACTTAATACCAGGAAGAGAAAGATGAGTTTTTTTTTTTGAGACACTTAATGAGGAAGAAGGGCTTGGAAAATTTGATACTCACAGGACAAATTGAATATAAGAGAGAGGAAAGCAACGCACTACTTACCTAACGAGAGTGAGTGAATTGATAGCCGGAGCAGGCTTTTGGGGAGATGGCGAATAGACAACAGCTATCAAGAGCTACAAGAGACAGGAAATTGTGGAGAGCCATGATCGCCAACGTCCTGAAGGGACACAGCATATAGAAGAAGATTGGACAATTTAACACTTGTAGGACACTGAAGGCAGGAGAGAGGTTGGCAAAAAGCAAGTAACAACCAATGAGTTTTTGTATGCGGCGGGGGCAAATATGGAAGGTAAAGAATCAAAAAGAACTATAAGGAACAGGAAGTAGGCAAAAAGCGACGATTTCCGGTGAAGGAAAGCAGCATATACAAGAAGAAGAAGAAGAAGAAGAAGAAGAAGGGAACTGTTTTAATCGTTTCTTCCATTTTCATTCATATTTTTAATTTTCTTTATCACTGTTATTTCTTTCTGTTTTTTCCTTTATTATTTTTTTCACAATTTCATTCATTTTCTCCTTTGTGTTTTTCTTTGATAAAATAGTTCAATCGTTTGTTTGTCTTCCTCCTTTTTTCTCCTCTTTTTCTTTTATCGCGCATGCGTCATTTTCATCTCTATATTTCGATTTTCTTAATTTTATTCATTTTTATTTCTTCTCTCATTACTTTATCTTTCTTTCTGTTACGATTTCATCTTTGTTTTTATTGTCCATGTCTGTTTCTTTCCCTTCCTCTTTTTTCTTCTTTCTTTCTTTCTTTCTTCCTTCCTTCCTCTTCCCTCTTTTTCCTTTTTTCTTTTCTACGTATTCCATTTTATGCTTTCCTTCCATTTTTTCCTTCATTCTTTAGGTTCTTTCTTTTGTTCCTCATTCATTCTTCCGTCCACCTTCTTCTTTCCCTATCTTCTTTCATTTTTCTTTCCTCGTCTTCCTTTCTTTCTTTCCTCCAATCTTCCCTTTTCCGACTTCTCTCGCCTTTCTCTCTTTGCTTTTCTTCGCATTCCATTTTCATTCTTTCTTTCATTTTTTCTTCATTCTTTCTGTTCTTCCTTTTAGTTCTTTTTCCTTTCTGTTCTTCCTTCCATCTTCTTCCTTCTTCTTTTTTTCTATTTCTCCTTTCATTTTTCTTTCCTCGTCTTCGTTTCTTTCTTTCCTTCCCCCACGTTTCCTTTCCCGACATCTCTCTTCCTTCTTTTTTCTTTCTTTTCTTTTCTTCCTATACCTTTTTCATTCTTTTCTTCATCTTTTTCTTCGTCTTTCATTCTTTTCTTTCTTCCTTTTTTGTTTTTTTCTTTCCTTTCTGTTCCTCTTTCATTCCCCACTCCACCTTCTCCCTTCTTTTATCCGCCTTCACTTTTCATTTTTCTTTCCTCATATCTCTTTCTTTTTTCTTTCTTTGCTTCTTTCTTTCTTCCCTTTACCGACTTCTCTCTTCCTGCTTCTTTCTTTTCTTCATTTTCCTTTTCATTCCTTCCATCATCTTTTTCCTTCGTTCTTTCATTCTTTTCTGTGTTCCTTTTCGTTCTTTCTTTCCTTTCTGTTGCTTTTTTCATTCTTCGTGCATGTTCGCTTTTATTCTTTTCTCCTCTTTCATTGTTCTTCGTAGTATGTATTTATTTATTATCTCTTCTTTATTTCCTTCCTCTCCCCCTTCCTCTTCCTCTTTCATTATTTTCTTCTGGCTCTTCTTTTTTTTTTATTCATTCTCCCCCTTTCATTCTTTCCTTCTCCTTTTTCCTTATTTCTTCCCTGTTTCCTTCCTTTGTCCATTTTTCTTTCCTCTCTCTTTCCCTTTCGGTCTTTCCCCTCTCTTCTTCCATCTTCTTTCTTTTTCTTTCCCTTTTCGTTTGCCTTCATTTTTCCCTTTCTGTTTTTCTTATTTCCTTCTGTTTTTCTTTTCTTTCAACTTTTTCATCGTCTTTTTTTTGCTCATTACTCATTTTCTTCATTTTCTTCCTCTTTTTTTACACTTATTTTTTCTTCTTTTTTTTTCCTCCTTACTTCGCCTTCCTCATTTCAACTAACATTTGAATCTTTTCACCCTTTTTATTTAATCAATATTTTCCTTTCTGTTTCTTTTTTTTTTTTTTTTCAAAGTTTTCCTCTTTAATTTTACCGTTTTAAAAAAGGTGGGTCGCATTCTCTTTTTCTCTTTACGAATTCTTCTTATCAGATTAATAACGTGAACTCTCGCTTGAACTCTCGTTCGTGGCTTTATCTAAGCATTTTCGAGATGCACAAATTTCTTATTACTAAGATCCACGAGCATAACATGTAAATATTAAATGACATAACTCGATCAAACAAAACAATCTATTTGTTTTAATCATCTGTGCAATAAAAGGGCTTTTAAAGCAATGTTCACTATTTTAATTTAAGCTTAAACAAATAAACTTTTCTGACATCCTTTTAATACAATTTATCATAGTAAAATTTACCAAATTGCATCTATTATTCTGTAATTCCAAACAACCTACATTGTAAAAGTTTACAGAACCTTAAAATAAACTTGGAGCTGAAATAGTTTATATGTAATGTTGAACTGGGGGATCCCGTATAATAACATTGAAATTTTATTCTATTTATTGTCGAACCAAGAAGTACTGGATTTTGAAATGACGGTCTTAATAAATATAATACTGCATTTTCCTCTCCAATTCCCTCTTGCAAAGCATGTATTATTAATAAACCTCTATTAATGGTGAAAGTCATTTTTCGATTTTATAGATCTTGGCGTAGAGAGTCATCCTCCTAGTTTATATACACAGCTACCTTTGAGCACGTAAGGGGGGTGTAATGGTTAACAAGCTTGTCTCGCTAGAACAATTACGACTGAGTAAAGAGTTCGATCTTCATTGGGTGCCCCCTACGTTCGGCCTTATGCCACATCTAAGCTACGCTTGGGGAATCAATATACAGCTACCCTTCACTTTACGGCATCTTTTTAACAATTCCAGTCATACGACTAGCTATAAAAGCTCATCAAATATTAGTTTTAATCCAACCGGTCGGTAGTGGAGTCGGTAGGAAAACTTGGACCCTTCTACTTTTGTCTTTATTCAAAAGGAATGAAAATGAACAAAAATAAATAAAATGGATTTATACGGTACTTACAGGATACAAACCGGAGAACTGTACCAAATACAGAGCTAATATTCGAATTTGTTTATTACATCTACTGCTTAGTACACTATTGTAGAGTATAAAGATTTAGAAATAAATTACAAATGGTGCAGAGTCCTGGGTATGACGATAAACTACATCCGGCAGTAAAGCCTCTGATCGGAAGATTGGAGATTTTGAGAAGCGTGTAACGACTTCTTAATTGCTGTCGTTCCCAGGTCTGCCCTGACCCAAGGTAGTAGCACTTGTTAGGCTCCCAACTATGAGCAAATAGTAGACCCAAAAACAAAATATTATCAATGATTAAAAAAAAAAAATTTATAGTAAAAATACTAGACATTTTTATATAGTAAAATTATAAACAACATATTTATATTAAAATTGCCAACATTTTTAAAACAAAATGGCCAGCAATATATTTTATAGGAAAATGACCAATAATACATTTTATCTGTGGTTGAAGGCAAACACTCGCGTACAAATTATATTTAAAGCCATAAAACTGTATTGAAAATATTTAGATTTAGGCATTAAATAATCCATACAGTTTGATGTGTTGCTAAACAAAATCAACCAACCAAAAATACGTATTTACAGTAAAATTACCAATAATAGATATTAAAATAAAATGACTAACAATACATTTTATCTATAGTTTTAAGCATATAATTGCGTCAAAATATATTTAGTTGATGCCATAAAATTGTGTTCAAAAGATTTAGATTTCGGCATTAAATAATCCATACATTTTGATGTACTGCTACACAAAATCAACCAACCAGTAATACGTATTTACAGTAAAATTACCAATAATAGATATTAAAACAAAATGACCAATAATACATTTTATCTATAGTTTTAAGCATATAATTGCGTCCAAAATATATTTAGTTGAAGCCATAAAATTGTGTTCAAAATATTTAGATATCGACATTAAATAAACCATAGAGGCTGATAATCAGCTAAAACAGGGGTACTTAACCGGGGGTATCTATACCCCTTGGGGGTATGGGAACCAAATGCTGGGGGTATGGGGATCGATTTCTGGGTACGGGTAGTTCCCCACCGCTGTGCTGTGTTTAAGGATGATTTCATTGAATTCCAAGAGGGACCAAGAAAGAAAGCTGATTTCGAAAGGTCTGGTATGGATGTCAAGGAGTTTTGGTGTGAACAAATCACTGCTTACCCAAGTTTGGCAATTAGGGAAAAACATGTTTTGGTTCCCTTCACAACTACGTATCTCTGTGAAACAGGATTCTCTGCATTATTAAATCTGAAATCAAAGTGAAGAAATCGACTTGATGTGTCAGATGACATGCGAGTAGCTTTGTCAGTAACTGTACCACGATTTCATGTTTTGATTGCACATAAACAACAGCAAATATCTCACTAGATTAGTAAAAGTCTGTTTTATTGTAGTTGAGATACTAAAAAAAAAAAACTTGCACATTTATGTTCTCCTCCTTTTTCTTGTGTAATAAAACTGAATTATAAATTTATTTTGCTTTAAGTTAAAAAAAAATATAATAAAGTTATCAATGCTTATAGTTTTTTTTTTCATGTTCTATTCCTAGCAATCCATATCTAAAGTACAGTAAATTCAAGCGATTGAAATATTTGGAAGACATACTGGCAAATAATAGGATTGGTGATAATTATTTCGACAGTCAAGTGAAGTGGGTATGGGACCATATTGGACAATCTATTGGGGGTCTGGAATCATCAAAAGGTTAAGAACCCCTGAGCTAAACAAAATCAAACAACTAACAAATGGTACAATACTCACATTAAAGCTATTTGAAGCTGGTTAATACAAACCCCTGATACGCGTCTTTCTTTTTCTATCTTATTTAATAATCGGAGTCCAAGTGAGTGCAGTAAAATAAATTAAATGATACGAGAAGATGTCTGAAGTAATAGAAAAGTTGTTGTTTTGGGTTTGTTTTTTCCACCTTATTTGATAACCAAAGTCCGAGAGAGGCTGTAAAATAAATTAGTTGATACGAGAAATAGTCCAAAGTAATTGAGAATACTTCGTGCATTCTGAAAGTTGTATTAATCGACATAGTAAAGCATAAAGATAACAAAATTCTCCTTATATTCATTTTGAGTTTTGCTCCTCCTCTTCTAAATACATTAATTTTGCACCTTCCTCCCCAAGTCAAAGTAACCCCCATCGTCACTTCTAATTGCTACAAACGCCACTACTTTTAACCTTAATACTGAGGATGACTCGATTACGCCGAGGAAGTTGTATAATTAAACATTTTTTTAGAAATACGATTTAATGTTCTCTTTTCCGCCTCAGCTAAT